AAGTTGCTATCAGAAACAATGCCTGATGTGTTTTGGACGTAATCTCGTCTTTGTTTGCATTAGCAAGCCTCGCTAACACTCAGAGCTAACCTGTACTGTGTAGAGCACATGTGTTTACAAAGCAGGAAATAAAAAAAGAACTCACCTTGTGATAAACCTGCAAGAGAAACATAATTTGAGCTCCGTACTATTTCAGAAATAATCCTTGACGTGGTTTAAACAGGATGGTGTTTTATCACAACCAAATTTAACTTTGTCTCCGGTAGAATTCTGATCAGGCATTAGCTCCGCCTCCTCTTCTTTTGGTTTTTTTCAAGCTAAGGACCCAAAATCTGCGTTTCTCTAACAGGGCAGCAAAAGAGGGGTCTGAGCAGTATGAGGGATGGCTACAATGGGTGATCTGTTTGGTATTTTGAAAAAAAAACTTCACTGACATGTTTTGTATAGGTATGGCCCTACAATATATGTTTCAAATATAGCATGATAGGTCCACTTTAAATGCTAAATATATGTTTGAGGTTAATTAGGGACATCACCTCTATTACACACTGAAATTGTTACACTATGGACAAGTCCAGATCAGTTCATATCTAAGTAAGGGTTTCATTTTTCTGTGATTCCCTTAGGAAAACTCCGCAGACGGCAGTTTTACTCTCAGCCTCTGGAGAATGGCCGGGTCCTCTTGCAGGGCTCCACCTTCACCTACCAGGACATCCTGGACCAGTTGCTGGTCTACACACCTGAAACAGTCAGCGGGGGTGCAGATGAAATGGGTTTCACCCTCACCGATGGCATCTATATACAAACGGGCCGCCTGGAGTTCACCATGGACGTCAGGAGGAGCGAAGGACCCCACATGACCGTCAACAGAGGCCTGCAGCTCCCGGCAGGTGAGAGTGGATGGGAGGACTTAATGTTGATAAAAAGGTCTCAGAGAGTCTTAAATGAAGGGTTTAAAGAGACTTAATATTGTGAATGGTTTCAGGATCCTCGATTAAGATCACAGAGCAGAATCTGAAAGGTACTGACATCGACTCAGACAGCCTGAAGCTCCGCTACGTCCTGACAAAAGACCCTCCGGCCGGCAAACTGCAGCTCAGCCAGAGCGGAGATGTGGAAAAGATTTCTGTCAAAGGTCCCGTACAGAGCTTCACTCAGGAGGACGTCAACAAAGGTGCCAGTGTGCTTTTATGATGTTAAAACTTGTGATGTAACTTTTATGAAAGCTAAAGCTATTTATATTATCCGTAATTCTGCTGAAGTCTTTGCTCTTTCCTCAAGAAACATTTTTGAGAAGCAAAGTGTATTTGTTGTATAAATGTTATTGTTTTATACATGAAAAAAACCTGTTGTTTATTAGGTTTACATCTCAAACCAGTGGTAATGTCAGTGCTAGTATTCCTCTCAATTTAAAACCACTTGCCCATAAACCCAAATACTTCCAGAAGATATAGAGTGGTGCAGGAATGAGTCTTAAAACCCAGAAATGAGTCATCATTTGACCACTTCCAGTGGCCTTGACTGCACCACTCTTGCACTGTAATACAAAAAATATACTTTTGAACATATTCCAGTATATGTTGCATGTGCATGGAGCTGACATTGGGTTAACACTGTCCCTCCCTTGCAGGCCTGCTGCAGTACAGCCATGAGAAAGGGGAGAAGGGGGGCAGCCTGTCGTTCAAGTTCAACCTGGTTGATCCCGAGGGCAACAAGCTGATCGACCAGTCCTTCTTCATCAGCGTGCTCGGTAAGGCTTCCTCATTCCTCTGTTAGCCGCTGTGCTCAAGCAACATGAAGTGTTGCGTCATTTGGTGGAAAGAAGAGGCGATTACTACAGATTCATCCCTTCGCACCTTGGACAAATCCCGAATGTGAATTGTGCATAGACACTGTTGTTGCATCTGAAATAGCTTTAGGTCAGAGATGATCTGAAATGGGCGTAAGAAAACACTTATCAAGCGTATTTTAAGGAAGAATTTCATTCAGATGTAGCCCATTTTAGGAACAGATGTCAGTGTCTCAGTTGGATTGTTTCTTGTCGATTGTGACGGTGAAACCTCCACCAATACATCTCCTTTCCACTCACTCCCTTCTTGGGACTCAGCAGATACAATCCACACTAATACAGCTGCTGCAGACTGAAGGAGTGTCCCTCTCGGTTAAACATGATGTGCTCATATCTTTCCCAGTTAACGTTTTATCTTGTTCTGTATCTTTCACCTCCGTTTTTCTCTCTTATGCTCTCTCGTGGCCGTTCATATCCCTTTCAACCACACTGCTCTCTGATTACTTCCCTGCTCTTCCTCTCAATCTCTCCCAGCCATTTGTCCATACTTCTCAAACCTGTATCACTCCTTCACACCGATGTTGTACCTCGTCCCCCTTTGCTGTCACTGAACCTTATCAGTTTCTGGTTTTCCACTTGTTGTTGTCATTTCTCTATTCCCTAACAGTGCTCCTGTTATCTTCTCTCTTCTCCCACTCTGAATCAGTCTCAGCTCCTCCGCTGTTTCAGCCCGAGGATGAGAAATTGACTCTCAATATTTGTATCTGCTTTTGGATGAATTGTTTTCACAAATTTCGCAAGAGCCTCTATGCTTTCCCTAGATTTATTTTTGCTCCGAAGGGTTTCTTTTCCTTCCTTCCGGTCTTCTTTTTACGTGAATAACCTTCTTCTTCTTCTCTCCTCCAGAGGACCGCCTTCCTCCGTCTGTGGTGGTAAACAAAGGCCTGATTCTGGATGAAAACACGATGAAGAAGCTGACCACACTGCAGCTGTCTGCCAGCGATCAGGACAGTGAGCCGGGGGAGCTCATCTATCGCATCACCAAACAGACGAGCCTGGGTCACCTGGAGCACGCCAACAGCCCAGGTACCAACACGAACACTAACAACCAAACTCACTGTTCCTATCTCCATTTAGCAATTGAAACAATTATTTTGCACTACGTCATCTTAAGCTGTTTTTATGCAAAGTAAACAAATTAAATGCACAAAGAAGTGGTTATTCGCTTCCCGCTATTAAACAATCCTGCCCCGGTTGAATGGATTCCCCACATCGTCCAGCGCTCTCGCAGCATGCTAATTAGCTGGATGTTTTTATCACCACTCTCTGCTCTCTGAGCATCAGCTCACCTCCGGAGCCACAGAGCAGCTCTGGATAATTACCGCTAGCCAGCCTGTCATTCCACGCTAACACGCACAGCTAGCTGCTCCTGTGGGATATCCTGACAGCCTACAAGGAATGTCAAAGTAACAGCACAGAGAGCTACGTTCCCACTTTTAAGCCAAATATTTCCAAGTCACTCAAGGCCGTTTTTCACCAATCAGGAGCAATGTAACATTAATTTAAAAAAGGAATTTGAAGAGAGAGACCACTAGAATGAAACCTAAGTCACGTGGCCGGACACAGTATGTAAGATTGTTAGCTGGTCTACTAATCTTCTAATATCATATTGATTGTGGTCATGTCTGAAGGACAATATAGATCAGAATACCCATAATGCTAATCACATCTTCAAGTCTGCTGACTAGAGTACTATCGAAACGTCACTTGGCTCCACTCGTGTTAATTATTGTCAAGGTGTCACACTTAACAAGCTCTGCTCTGTGGCATTTGTTCTGTACCAATGTTATCCTACATTCTGAAAATGTACTGTGTGTACCACATGGTTATCTTTATAATATTATGTATTACAGTTTATAAACAGAAATCCACTTCATTTAAAGTCAGAGTATGTAACTTTTGGCCCCCTTCGTTTACCAAGGCTTAAAAAGAACCGATGATTATTTATATGTCCTGCACTTAATTTAAATACTGACAGGAAAAGATACGATACATCATATATCAATCCAAGAACATCATGTACTGTAGGATCATAACCCAAATAGAAAGCAAAAAAGATAGTTTAAATATTTAATATTTCATAATGTTACATGTTTAGTGCAGCTGAGGGTCCATCGGAATACTTTGTGCATTTCTGTGGGCCAATATATCAACACACTCAAAAGATACTTATAGTTGGACTTCATCATCATCTGTCAGTGAGGTCAAAGTCAATTATCTATCCCTCTGTAATATTTTTTGGTTGTTTCACTGAATTTCTATCCTCATATCAATGCAGAATTACAGATTAGGTTGACAGCACATCAAAAGTGATGTAGATACTGTGTAACTGTTGAGACATTATTTTGATTTGAAGAAGGCAATAATGCCTAACAGAGCAGTAAGTGCAGCTAGGAAGCCTTAGATAAACACAAGTCAAGCTTCTTAAAAAAATATTTTAATCTTTTGACTCACTGTGTGAGAAAAATATATAATTACATTTGGCCAAAATTGGTATTTTGTGTCAAGAAATTACTTTTCAATTTAATATGATGGGGCAAATAAGCAGGTATTTTCATCCCTGACTGAGAAAGCTGCCTGTGCCTGTCCCGATCATGATGATGCATAAACATCCAGCTGGGAAATAGATGACACAAGGGAAAAGGGCCGTCGACTTCAACGCGTCTTGCTGTGTCAAAAGTTGACGTGAAGAAGATTGATGTTACAAAGCCTCCATTTCCATTTCCTTAATACCCTCCATGACGTGTTGAAAAAGACGTTTCATCCATCCTGCCTGCTTGAGGAAATAATTTTGATCCTATCCTGGGGACGTAAAGTTTTTACTTTCCCATCAAAGTCATCAATGGAACAGAATGTCCATTTATACATGATTTACTTCATACAATGACAGGCCTGTTAAAAACGGTACCTGCCTATTTAAAATGATAGGAATTGCATGCCGTGCACCCATCTGGTATTAATATAGCAATTTATATGATGATTTTTGATTTGTTCAACGTCCGTTATTAAATGAAATGAGAGAAAATTTAAGTTTGGATACATTCTCTCCTTTGCATTCATCAAACCTACATTGTCAACCATAAATATGTTAAAGGTATCACACAAAGAACTCAATTGGCTCTTTCTGAAAGGGTGACGCACGTGTCTTTAAGCAGCCAGCCTTAACAAATCAGCAGAAATTGAACTCCTGTGATGAAACATTTCTTTTTTTAGACAATTGCCTTTAGATTCATGCAGAGTTTTGTTCGATCGCTGCAATCAAACCTGATTACGTTTCCTACTGAGTTTTAAGAGTGAGGAGGAGCTGGAGCCTCCTAAAAAGCCTTTACTTTAACTCCACTTTACAAAAAGTAAAGCCAACAAAGAAAAGAGAAAAGACACAGTGTGTGATGTGAAACTAAATGGCAAGGGGGGGGGGGGTACTGTAAAAACTAATTGTAATCATAAATATAACCAGAATAATTGGTCCGAAGACAGTTGACATTAGAATCCAGTACCGGAAGGATTGTGAGGAGAACCACCAAATGTATAAATAACTAACGCAAACAGCATGTGTTTAAAGAGAAAGATGGATAGAACAGATGTCCTATTGATGTTTGTAGTGTTTTTGTCTGCATACTGTGAGTGTGTGTACGGTGATTGTACAACTATTCTTCTTCCCTGTCCAGGCACCAGAATCAGCACATTTACCCAGGCCGATCTTGCATCGCGCAGCATCCAGTACGTCCACACCAGTGAAGAAGAGAAGCATGCTGACCAGTTCTCATTCACTGTGTCGGACGGGACAAATGAGGTAAATAAGAGGGTCAACTCTGGGAAAAGTAAAAAGGTATTTTAAGACTGATTAAAGATGGTTAAGTTCAGTTTTTTCACATAATGAAGTAGCTCAAGAGGGTACCTTGAAGAACGCGTTGATGTTAAATTTGAACTTATGTTACATCTCATATGAGTTCCACAAAGTGAGGCACTGGTAGAGTTGACATTATTCTTATAAGGAGAGAACAAGTTGTATTGTTGCATCTCTCAGTAGGAGTTTGTCCACAATTGAAAACAAAGTGGAACCAGTGAGGTTCCCTGGGGTACACCTTAACAAGACTTTATTAGCACCTATGGCCCCTCCAAGGCTAGGATGTATTAAATATAGAGGTGTTTTTTGTAGATTGCATTATTTAGAAACGTTGTCCCGTCCCCCTTCCCCAGCGCACACACACAAACAAGCTATGTTCTCTTTCATTACTGTGTGGTTGATGTAAAAAATGGTATGTATTGCCTCACCATGACCTTTTTTTATATAGCCTGTAGCCAGGTGCAAAGTAAGTTCCCACAAAATTGCCCGCTCAGTGTAGATATTCCAATCACATTCAAGTTTAGGAAAAAAACACTCTGTTCTAAGAGGTGAGTCTGGCATGTACGCAATTTGTGCTTGAGCACCTTCTAACAATAACATTCCCCACTTGGCACGTCTGCGTTTTTCAGTTCTCATGCAGTGCTCGTTCTCCACATAAAAGCCCCTTCAGACTTCTTTGTCATTGGACTTTTGGTTGCGAAACTAAGCTTTTTGGCATAAATATATTGCACTCCTTTTTATAAATGGATTAGTAAAATTATTTTGACCCCTAGTAAAGCAATTACATTTTAATATATAATCTAAAAATAAATATATATTTAATCTTAGGAACCCCAAGCTTTCAGAGCGGTGAGGAAGCGGTACTCAAGCCCTTCCAGCTCCCCCCACCCCAGTATGCCTCATGCATAAATCTGCCTTGCTAATCCAGACTAATGAGGACAACAAGGACTTGAGTAAACATGTGAAAAAGGTCATTTGGCCTTCACGCCTGGCTGGCTGCAGTGTGTGGGGGCTTTTGTGGTCACTGTAGTGGTAAGTGCTTGTGAAGTGGTTCAGTGTTTTTACTTTTGTTAAAGCTCCTCTATCCAGTTGGGAGGCTTTTTCAGTTTTTTGTTAGAAAAGAACGGCATATTAATAACCAAGTGTTCTGCATTAAAGTTCAGTTATATTTAATTGTAAATGTGAACTGCTACCCCCGCGACCCGACCACGGATAAACGGGAGAAGATGGATGGATGGATGGATGGATGTAATGTGTAACTAAAGCAGCATTTTTTACTCATATGTGGTGTAATGAGATACCTCAAGGGCATGGCGGTTCATAGTATCTGTTAAAACTGAATTCTTTGCTATTTCAGTAATGTGTTAACTTTTCAACCGAATATAATTTTCTGGCTTGACTAAAACGTTCATAGGTAGGGAAAGATTTTTGATATATTCAGCACCATTACAATCATCATTCGTCTCAGTGCAAAATCGTAAATAAATGTAAAAGCCAAGTATCTCCACCACCTTTTCATTAGCTACAAAAACAATCAACAAACACAATCAGTTTTTTACTAAAAGCATACCCATTATTTATTGGTTCTTATCCATTGGAAACATTGTTCAAACACTCACATTGTATGTTGGAAAATGTGTGAACCCCTATACTTTAACAAAAGCTTGCTGATTTGGCAAACCTTGTTTTAATCATTGAAACAAGATTGTCGTGAAGTGTTGTTTGAGCTGTTTTTACTTATGATAATCACTCAAATATTGAAAATAAATATGTAATTACACAAGAAGCATCTGTTGATGTAAAACCATGCCTCTCAAAAAGATCCCAGAAGAACTACGATCAATAGTTGTTGATTTGCGTAAAGTTGGAAAAGATAACAAAATAGTGAAGTTATTTATCGGCCCATATTTAGACATATTTTCTATAAAAATAGCTAATTTAGTACTGTGGCTTTACTATAAGCCTACACAGATGGCCCCCAGAAAAGATGTCTCAAAAGGCACAACGCAGAATAATCAATGAGGTAAAAAAGAACCCGAGAGTAACATCTGAAGACTTGTAGGTATCATTGGATCTAGTTATCTAATTTCATGAGGTTATCATACGCAAAACCTTGTACAGCCAGGGACCATGGCAGCAGACCACAGAGGAAGCCACCAAAATAACAACACTACTCGGAAATCCTCGTTGTGATAACTGTTTGGAAAGGGTTCAACGTTTTCATTTATTAAACCTTAAACACGGCTTCATATGATCCTGTGTTTGTCTCCAGGTTGCCCAGACGTTCTACATCACCATCAAGCCAGTGGACGACTCCCTGCCTCTGCTCCAGGTTCCTGGCATGAGAGTCCAGGAAGGAGTGAGGAAGACCATTACTGAATTTGAGCTAAAAGTCACTGACGCAGACACTGAGGTAACACACAAATCCCTGAAAATCTAGCAACTTTCACCATGAGTTTATTTATTTATTTCACCAGTTTAGCAAAGAGCGGGACCCCCATATGATAGTTGGTGATCATCCACTAAGCCGGCCAAACTAAGCTGTGTAAGCTTCTGTATATAAAACAAGCTTTTCTCTACAGCTTCACCTTCTCTGGCAACAACATCATAAAGGCTATTTCCTTCTCCAGCCCCAGACACTCATACACTGTAAATCCCATAAATCTTAAACGCAAGTTATTTCCTGTTTATTTTCGTTTTTGTTTACCATCTGTGAACAACCATGCCTACATCTAGGGCAATTAGAAATATCCCTACTTTCACAGGAGGAAATTTAGAAGCAACTAAGGACCTTAAGTAAGCTGAGGGTTATTATGTTCTTCTCTAGTAAACATTTCCCACAGTTTGGTTGTTAAAGTTGCAAGAAAATAACAATGACTTTTATTTATAAAGCATTAAACAGAAGTTTTTTAAAGAATATTCAACGAACATGTACTTTCACCTGAAGATCCTCACCGCTCATTCAAAACACTTTTCCTCTCCCTCCATTGTTCCTGTTAACTACCTCCAGGCGGAGTCCATCGTCTTCACCGTTGTCCAGGCTCCTCGTCACGGCACCGTTGAGCGCACGAGCAACGGCCAACACTACCGTCAGACCAGCAGCTTCACCATGGACGACGTCTACCAGAACCGCATCAGCTACAACCACGACAGCTCCAACTCGCTCAAGGACCGCTTCACCTTCAGCGTGGCAGATGGCACCAACCTGCTCTTCATGGTGGAGGAGGGTGGAAAGGAGGTGTGTGTGTGTGTGTGTGTGTGTGTGTGTGTGTGTGTGTGTGTGTGTGTGTGTGTGTGTGTGTGTGTGTGTGTGTGTGTGTGTGTGTGTGTGTGTGTGTGTGTGTGTGTGTGGACATATTTAGCACATCAAGAACGCTACATTTGCAGATTGTGTTCTGGTGTGTGTGTGAAAGAGGCAGCATCTTGACGTATTTATTACAGCTAAATGATTGAATGAGCAGTGTTACTGTAGATGTGTGTTTGTGTGTGCACGCTCTGACCTTTTTATGACAAGAGGGGTGAATCAGCAGTTTGTGTATATGCTCTTATGCTACCATTTGTGCAAGGACCAAGAAAGTGACACGTTTGAAAATAAATGTTTTGCAGTGAGGCCAAGTATGGTCATTAAGGAAAAGTAAGGAAATATTTTGGAAAGTGTCGACACATTATGAAAAAAGGGCCTTTTGGGAAAAGAAAAGACGTACTGTAAGGGGAAATGTGAAGATGTTGGGGAAAAACATATGTATATGTACAGTGGGGCCAAAAAGTATTTAGTCAGCCACCAATTGTGCAAGTTCTCCCAAATATGAGAGAGGCCTGTAATTTTCATCCTAGGTATACCTCAACTATGAGAGACAAAATGAGAAAAAAAGATCCAGAAAATCACATTGTAGGATTTTTTATTAATTAATTGGTCAATTCCTCGGTAAAATAAGTATTTTGTCACCTACAAACAAACAAGATTTCTGGCTCTCACAGACCTGTAACTTCTTCTTTAAGAGCATCCTCTGTCCTCCACTTGTTAACTGTATTAATGGCACCTGTTTGAACTCGTTATCAGTATAAAAGACACCTGTCCACAACCTCAAACAGTCACACTCCAAACTCCACTATGGCCAAGACCAAAGAGCTTTCAAAGGACACCAGAAACAAAATTGTAGACCTGCACCAGGCTGGGAAGACTGAATCTGCAATAGGTAAGCAGCTTGGTGTGAAGAAATCAACTGTGGGAGCAATTATTAGAAAATAGAAGACATACAAGACCACTAATAATCTCCCTCGATCTGGGGCTCCATGCAAGATCTCACCCCGTGGGGTCAAAATGATCACAAGAACGGTGAGCAAAAATCCCAGAACCACACGGGGGGACCTNAACAAATGTCTTCAAGGTCACTTACTCGGGGGTAATTGACTCAAAATTTGTAGTGAAATTGTACCCTCTAGGGGTATCCGGGGGCGGGTGAGCTAGAGCCTTAGCTCCTAGCCAATAGCTCGGCTATGACTAAGCGCCGCTAGCCGTGGGTTTGTAACCCGATAGCCCTAGTAAGGAATAAATATACTACCGAAAAATGAAGGAACATAAAAAAGACCTTACAAGACATAAGTACAATTTACTCCACCAACTGTGTATCTCTCGTATTCGTCCCTACACCGGTCACGACGGGAGTGGAAAAAGAGAGCCTACCCGCGCACCTACTTCGGCCACGAGAGCAATTACACCATGCAGAAGAATTAGTTTGACGTACCACCGAGCAGGAGACACAGCAACTACAACTGCTACCGCGCGCACAAAGGGCGGGTCGTCACGCATGCCCGCCCCGTACGAGTCGAGGTGCACCTTTTTCGAGAGGCAAAGGGAGCCTTGTGGAACAGCAGCCAAATAGTGATTACCAGACGGTGTGGTAACCACAGGAGTGCGAGTAGGTGTTGACCTGGACCATTACTTGTCGTCCTCCCATTTACCCAAACTCATCGATTGCTATACCTAGTATCTCATGGTCCCATATAGTCTTTCACATAAGTTTCGGCCTCTTTTGTATCCTGTCATTTTATATTTCGGGAAAAACCCCCAAAAGGGAAAGGACATCACACACAATATATCCAACATTACGGTACATTCACCCAGACGTTTCCGAACGAGTTTAGGGCGTTTCAAAGGGAGGTCTCTCTCCATTAAGGGTTGTCGGCGAGGGGAGGGGGACATGTACTTTGCGGAGGTAACCTCGAGGGAAACCCATAGGTGGAATCTGGTAATGACCTGACACACATATTTTTTGCGACGACGGGGGACCGAAATCCTTTGTTTGACTCATTAACCATTTTCACCTCTCTTTTTGTTGCAACTGAATTTTGTCCGGTAAATGCGTAAATGTCATGACAGATAAACGATAGTTGTGTAAATCTACCTTTTATTCCTTGGGAACCCATTTCTCTTAGGAATTGGATTATGTAGGCAAAGACCCAACACCAAAAATGTCACACACACCAAGACGTAGTCAGATATGTAACTTTTATGAGTGAACAACCAAGGTAATGGTATGAGAACCAATCCAAAACAACAGCAGGTTCTGTAGTACTTACAATGATACTTAGAGGGTGTACCCGTTTAGGTCTAACCGACAAGTAAGAGCCGAAACTTCTGAGGAAATATTTTTGTTTATACCGGATCTTAGTTACAACCTATCGAGATAAACTACTAAACTGAACATTGTAATTGCACTATTGCTGCTGGTTCCACAGCATGTCTCCTTGTATATGATCGTCCAGGTTCGGTTCTCTATTCCTTCCGACTCCGACTATCTCAGAAAGGAACATAAAAGAACATTTCACAATTTTGACTATACGGCTATCAGGTACAAAATTTACCGTAACAGACTGCGAAATTTTTTCGCGCGCGTTAGCAACTGTAGTGCTGGTGTCCCTGCCGGGGCGGCAACCACATTCTCGGACAGGTGCGCATGAAGTGTTTGTCCTAGTGGCGAGCGCGGAACGGACCGGTGAGCCTGCCTCGGGAGCGACCCCCGGAGTAGCCTTTCCACCTCCACCGCGACCGGACGAGCACCGCCGTCTCCGTGCTACCGCATGACCAACTCCAAAGGACAAGCGAAGTGGCAATGGCGGTGACACGGGCCGGAAAAAGTGACCGGCTAACATCCGACACCTTTGGTAAGTGTCCTTCAAATAAACTGACTACCTACGAGCCTTCCTTGGACCCCCTGACATACGGTTCAATAGACACACTTCGTAGACTTCATGCAGAGAGCTACGACATTTTTATGCCTGGAAAACACGAAACTTCGACTACTCCCTGGTGACCTACACCTTCTGCAACAGCGACTCGTTGTAAAACCGTAAAACGGACAGAACAGAGTACGACAAACTTCAGTTAAGCTACGCACAGGTACACAAGGAGCCTGTAACAGGACGATCTCTGTATTCTACAGAGGACACCGTCCTGGCATCGCCGATAGTCTGCTGTCGTCCAACTATAGTCATCGTTTCATCCCTCTAGCTTACCCAGGTGCCGAATAAGGTTGGCCTAAGAATCTGTAACTCTATGGTACACACCGCTCCCACACGACATAGAAGAGAACCCTTCCTAGATAATCTCTTGACAGTGGATAAAAACAATAAAGAGATTCTTATAGAAATGATGAGCTGTTTTCTCGCTTCAGTCTTCTATAGTTCTTATAATGATAAGCACATGACCTTCGAAGCGGTATTACGGTTATGATTCACCGATAGTATGTACACGTATAACTTCTAACTAGCTACACATGACAATATAAAGGAAACAATTGATATATGTATAATTGTGCAAAGTCTTATAATAGATAAGGCGCAACAAACCAACCTAAGATAATGTAAAATTTTTATCAAGTCTAACATCACAATAAACAGTACACTTAACCGACATTTCATATAAAAGAATTTAAGTTTGGGTCATTTTGTTACAGTCGTCCAATGAATTCGTAGACTTTAGTAGTCTTAAACTTCGACATAGGATTACTCTGACTTCGTCACTAGAAAATGTGCAAGCGGCCGAGACATGCGTCCGACACACTTCCCCAGTTAGTTTAGTCGTCAGACAGGATCGTCCTAACTTGAGAAGTTATTGCAGCCGTTTATAAACGTATTCAGAAAGCGACACTTTTAGTACGGATATCTATACGTGGGCCGAGAGGACACGATGCATGAAGCGTAAGCGACCTCTAGTTTAAACTTTACTTCTACTTGAGTAGTAACAGTTAAGACGGGGTAATCTGAAGGTTCTGCCTACAACTTCATTTCATAATGTAACATTATCTCCGACATTTCCCGGTCTTCCTTCCGTACTCTTTCGGACACCCGATCTTTCTAACTCGTCGTACTCGAACGTCCTATTCAATCTGTCATAGAGGTATGTCACTAACTTATCTAATAATTTGCACACAAAAGAAATGAGGTCCGAGATACGGCGATAGAAGCAAGGTCACAAACAGAAGCGAAAACGGCGAGTGGCCAGGACAAGGTCGCCCGCCTCGACGTCACTAAAGACGAAGTGTGTGTGCAACGTATGGCGATTAAACTACAGAAAAGCCCACACTTCTCGCGGACAGTTTATTTTTAGTGTCCTGTGCGTCGACAGCCTTACGGTAAAACCTGTTACATTCAAATGAAGTACATTATTCAAGTTTACATTCACTTTGGATAATAACACGGGAGAAACGAGCGGAAGCGCTCTCTTTTCCTCTCTCTCTCTCTCTCTCTCTCTCCCCCTCTCTCTCTCCTGACAGCCTGTCAGTATCTCATGCAGCTCACTGATCCAGTAATGAGTGACCCGAAGAATAAATATATGTATAACTAGTTTAGCTTGTTCCAGAGGTAGATAAAATAGTGAAGTGTGTTAGGTCTAACTCTTAGTGTGTGTTTCGCTCCGCTCACCGGTCCGTCACAGCGGGCGGAGCTGCAGGATTTCTGCTTCACACACACGTTGCATACCGCTATTTGACTGTCTTTTTCGGACACCTTAAAATAATGCCAGACCGTGAAGCCATTTTGGCGAGCTTGTTTTGCCGCGCACAGAGAAAAGTGTCATGTATTTTACGTCATGCGATCGGCTCTCGCGATCGGCATGTTTAGAGAGCACCGATCGATCAGTGGAGAGTGAGTATCGGCCGATCTCGATCGGTGACCGATCGATCGGAGCATCCCTAATAATAAATGAAATAATAATAATAATAATTCACAACAGATTACACACACAGTAAAATAATGAAAAACTTAAGACCAAATCAGTAAAATATTAAACTATAAAATAAATAAATTAAACATTATAAAAAAAAGATTGAAAGACCAATTCAATGGCGATGTCGCTAAAGCTTATCTAAAGAAATATGGTTTCAGCTGTCCTTAAAAAATATCGACCAAGTTTTCCTATATAATATTTCCTGGTAGGCTCAGCTGTTAGTGGACAAAAGTTGCTTTAGGGGCGAGTTTAGGAATAATTAAAAGGCCTGCTGCTGAGGACCTTAGTGCTTGTCACATCAAAAGAAAGATATTTTTAAACCAGAAAAGGGATTTTCAAATCAATTCTAAAAGACACTGAGAGCCAATGCAATGTAGCTAAAACAAGAGGTACTGTCTGAGCTTTCTTTTTCTGGATTTTGTTAAACACGTGGCAGCGGAGTTCTGAATTAACTGTAGTTTTTCTCGTAAAAAGAGCATTCCAGAGTTGACGTTATGAGCAGTTGTGACCCCCTCCTGCCTCATTTCCCCTCCAGGTGACACCTCCAGCACGGTGTCGGCCCTCTGCTACACCGTGGCCAAGTCGGCGCAGGGCAGCAGCCTCCACGCTCTGGAGTCTGGCTCCGACTACAAGAGCCGCGGCATGACCAACGACAACCGCGTCATCTTCGGCCCCGGAGTCAGCATGTCCACCTGCGACGTGAAGCTCATTGACGACAGCGAGTACGAGCTGTCGGAGGAGTTCCAGCTGGTGCTGTCGGACGCCTCGGATAACGCCCGAGTGGGGGAGGTGATGACGGCCAAGGTTGTCATCGACGGACCCAACGACGCCTCCACCGTTTCTCTCGGGAACGCCACCTTTACTTTCACCGAAGATGCTGGTATAAGCAATTACATTTTTACGGTCTATGGATTTATTTTATTTTTTCTCTAACCCCAAGAGGAATTCTGTGAAGTTACACATATTTTCGTTTGTCATTTCAAAGCTTTATTAATTAGGATAAATGTGAAAATCTAACAATCTCCATGGGGAAATTAGGAAAGTGCGAAGAGTTACAAATTGGCTTTGGAAAGGGTAGTTTCATAATTGCTAGATCCAAGATCCAAGGGTGATTTTCTTCCAGATTGTAATGTCACTACACATGAAACAGAATGTAAGCTGCTCCCGAAACATTTACAAAGCTCATTTGTAGGAACAAGATTACGGCCCGGTTTCCTTATAAATTAGTCTGTACATTGCAGTCTGTCCCGATTTTATTTTGGAACAGAGAACATGCTTTGAAGTGGAGGACACACAATTCATGGCTTCTTCTTATGAGAATAAGGACAACAAGCTACAGCTCTTCAATGTGTTGACATTAACACTGTGCTATATTTCTTTTTAAAGGTTGGAATGCTTTAAAGCAGCCTTTTGACTTAAAAGCTAAACTCATATGTTACTCAGTAGTGATATTATGAATTGTTTTGAACTTATTGTGTTTCCTTCTCATCTCCACCCTACAGGCACAATTGAAATACCAGTGCTGCGCCTTGGCAGTGACCTGTCCTCCCTGACCTCTGTGTGGTGTGCCACTCGACCTTCAGACCCCCCCTCAGCGAGCCCGGGAGTCGACTACATCCCAAGCTCCAAGAAGGTGGAGTTCAAACCTGGTAGTACTGAGGAGGTGAGGACTGAGACTTCTGACCTACAGTAAAGATATCTAGAAGTGCTGAATCAAAGGCAGCTGGAACAAGGCCATCAAGACAGCATAATGAACATATTAAGAGTTTTAAACGCTCGTTCCGTTGGATTTTAGAAATTCTCTGTGAATTTGAGGGGGACAATATTTAAAGGTTCGTCCTTAAAGAGGAAATATTATTTCAGGTTCATATTTGCATTTTGTACCTCTACTGTGACATGTTTAGATGCCTTTTGGTTCAATAAGTGCTTCATTTTTTCTCATAATGCCTGTGCTGCAGCACCTCTTTTCACCCTCTGTCTGAAACCAGAGTCCAGACTGCTCTGATTGGTTAGAGATGTCCCGCCCCTTGGCCTATCACGTACAATGTGTTGAAGCAATAGCCAATAGAAGCGCAAATGTTACTTAGTAATGCAAGAATCAAAATTGAAGTCTTATGGATTTATTTATTTTTACCTAATTGTTTCAAACACCACCTTCCATTATAAAGTCTGTATTTAACTTTACAGTCACCTGGTCTCAAACTACACCGGTCCGTTCTTTGAATTTGAGGCACTGCTAATTCCTTGAAATAGTCTTAAACCTAATGTTTGAGAATGTGTGTGTATCCTTTAAACTAAAGGCAAGATGTTCTTCCTGCAAACCTTTGTAAACTCGGACCTGGCCTCAAATATCTTTAGAAACCTTGCTGACACTTTCTTTCTACAGACATGCAGTTTGACCATTATGGACGACATCCAGAACCCGTCCATTGAAGGATCCGAGTCGTTTGTGGTGTTCCTCAGTTCTCCTCAGGGTGCTGTCCTCCAAGAGCCCTATGAAGCCAACGTCGTCATCATCGACACCTTCCAGGACAGTAAGTACACAGGAGATTATTCCCTTAAAGGCCTCTTTCATCTTACATTCAAACTCAGCCTTCTCACAGCCAACGTCCCCTCTCTCAGTTCCCAGCATGCAGTTCGGGAAGACTGCTTACACTGTCAAGGAGAAAGACAGCATCCTGCACATCCCCATTATCCGCACCGGTGACCTGTCCTTCAAGTCATCAGTGCGTTGCTTCACCCGGACCATGTCAGCCATGGTGATGGACGACTTCGAGGAGAGGAGGAACGCTGACGAGTCACGCATCACTTTCCTCAAAGGAGAGAAGGTATACTGAATCCTAAAAGTTTAAACAAAGTAGATTAAGACCGTTTGTGTCAGTACCTTTAAAATAATTTACTTGATTGTTTGTTTTCCAGGTAAAAAACTGCACCGTGCACATCAACGACGACTCTGTTTTTGAGCCTGAAGAGGAGTTCCAGGTGCACCTTGGGACACCACTGGGAGACCACTGGAGCGGTGCCATGGTGGGCGCCAGTGACATCGTCACAGTCACCATCACCAATGATGAAGATGGTAAGATCATAGGTCACATACAACAGTTAACTTACTGGGGTATCAGGGCTCGACATTAAGGACTGCCCGATGGCCCGGGGCCATCTAGTATTTAGCTTGGGCCATGAAGCCTCACCTGCTGGTTGCCCGATCGGGCAATCTATTATACCAGTATCATGCAGCTCGCGGATCCAGTAATGAGTGACCCGACAGTAAAACTAAACATATCTATAACTAGTTTAGGTAGTTTGAGAGGTCATTAAAATAGCTACGTGTGATATTCTAACCTGAAGTGTGTGTTTTGTTCCGCTCACCGTTGCATGTGATCATGCAGAGCTGCGTGTCGACTCGTCAGCAGCAGCTGATCTCTCTCTCTCCCGTCAGATTAGACTTGACTCGCGTTTATGTCCATATCGATCAGATCCAGCTAGTTTTAGCTAATGATATGACTACCTGCTTATTAAAAGACACCGTGACCTAAACAATAAGTGTCGCTATGCAACTGGGTGAGGCCACAAAGTATAGCGCAGCATTATGCATTTGTTTACATGCCCTCCGGAACCCCGAGGCATTAGCAACAGATCAACGCACAATCAACCCATACAGCACATCTCTTTCTCCACATTACGTGTTAGACATTAGAATTGACTACTCTTGTCTGTCACATACTCTTCTTGTCTGTCACATAAGTGGCGCAACTGAAGCGGTATTGCGCTAAAGGGAAATTATTTTGACCGGACATTTTGACCGGACATTTTGACCGAAGAGATTTAGATTTGCCTGCTAACGGGAACTCTGACGTCGCCATTGTGTGTGCTTCGCGGATGCACTCGGCTGCTTGGGTCTGCTCAGTCAGCTTCTGGATGAGGAGGCATTCCTTCGACCAACTTACAGTAGATAACATTACAAACATTTTTAACAGGGGCCATAATAGTGTAAATAATGTTTGTTTTGGCAGTTATAACTGCATGTAATGTTTTCTACTTTTTTACATCTGGGGAGGCATTTGCCTTCAACAGATGGAAAGTGTCTTGACCAACAACTTAAGTATTTATTATCGTATGCCAGGGCATGCAAGAGCAAACACACAAACAAGTGAAATTAAGAATACAATTGAAATTGTAATATTGTGGTGGGTTCATCTTATAATTCAGTCTATAGAATGCACCAGACAGCATTTAAGACCTGCAAAAATCTAAATGTTCTAGGGGGAGCCCCCCAAAACCTTCGGTGCGTCATTTCGTCCGCACGCATTTTTCAGGGCAATCTCTATTGGGCTCAGGCCATCTGTAAATTAGCTTAGATGGCCCCACCTTAATGTCATGCACTGGGTATAGATGAATTCTGACACTAAACTACCAGGGCCCACCTTCATTTTGTTTAACTTTTTTCATGAAAGCCATGTATCTTTCTCAATGTCATTTTATTAAGAAATTTTGTTGCATGTTCTTTGAGTAAAATCTCAATGAAGAAACACTTTTTTGCATTCCATATTAATTCTGTTCTGATGAAAGTACACATTTTTGCGAATGTATTAGGCGAAAACGTTCTATTTGTAAGTGTCCAGAATACATGTTGTCAACTACAGGTGGAGATGGCTCCTGACCTTATTTATTTAAAATAACTCTAGTCTGCTTTGGACATATTAGTTTTAACGTGTTTTTTTGTCAAGTATACCCTGAATTTTGGTCAACAATATAAGCTTCTTTACATGTACACAAGATGTTCTTATTTCGTGTTAGGTAAGAGTTTTTCTTTCGTTCGATAGCGTTTTGTTGTCTCCATGTTAGAAAGTTATTTGAAGATTACACTGGCCCATAAACATTGCACTTAATACTAGCACAAGGACTACATAATAACTTATGATATATAGCTACTACACAATGGATTCAACATTTGTATATTCTATACATAAGACTGAATTGGTCACACGTCATACAACCTCGGTCATTATTAATGTGTGTTCTCTAACCACTCAATCTTCGCAGGCTTCATCGATGTCTCCTTGATGATACAAAAGTACTCTCTGTTTACTGTTTTGAAAAAAAATTTGGTTTATCCTGAGCCTGCCTCCTCTATTGTATGACATTGAGAATTACATATTCAGTAACTGCTCTACAGTTGTTACATAAATGCAGCCCCTCACATTGCTTATCATACCTAGAAAGTGAGTATCAACGGAATCCAGTATGAACAAAGACAGATCATTAACCTTCATGAAGAGCAGGTTTAACGCGGTGCGGTGTATTAAAACTACATTGTGATTGTAGATCTTATTAAGCAACTGCAATTGAACATATACATTATGGTATATGCCGTTACATCACCAGAGTAGCACCTTGACCTTTCGTGCCCCCCTTTTCTTCCAGCTCCTACCATTGAGTTTGGCAGACTCTTCAGTGTCAAAGATGTCCTGCTCCCGATGGATGTGGTCTCCAACATTATGTGCGTCCGTCCTGTGGGTTTAGATTGTGTGTACGGTACTCCAGCTCGTTGCTGCAGGCGTCTCGGGTCTCGGCGGTCTGCGTGTGAACATCCAAGTGCATGAGTGCTCATACTGTTGTGTGTAATCTCCACCGTGCATAGCTGACAGTTATGTGGCCTGTTAGTGTCACGGTGTCTCTTTTGTATGAGTCCTGTACAATGGTTACATCCGTGTAACTGTTGAAGGATTCGTCGTCTCATTATGACGGGAGATAGGGAGTGCACGCGTGTTGCTGATTGCGTCGACGACGCTGCTTTGGAAGCTTGTGATGCCGGTGATCGGTCACAATATTGGCTGACAACTAGACACGTATGGATTTGTGATGGCTATGTGTCTCAATCCTCTACCTTCTCACTATAGTGATATGGTTTTCAGTCGTTACTGTCGGGTCTCCTATCATTACTGGATGCGCGAGCTGCGATGTCATTTACTACATAGATTTGTCGTCCCCCTGCGTGTCTGAAACTTACCAACTCTTCTTCCTCCTTACCTTCTAAAATATGGCGCGGGTACAACGCAGTAGTCTGATCCAGATTTTACTGATGTATTACTTATGATATCGGATTATGTGGTGCTGGCTTTTACGCGAGCCTCGCCGCCATCAAAACACATCACGTGTATCCAGAAATGCAAGGTGCGCGGCGTTTTCAGGCAAGTAAACTGAGTCTGTGTTTACATTGCGCGGAGCAGCTTAACCTCAGGGCTAACGCACTTTACTGGTAGATTGAGTATGTGTAAATAGCAGATATAAAAAGGTCTAACCCGTCAGAGAAAAAGATTTGAAGCTCCCTGCTGTCTTCGAGAAATTGATCCTGTGATGTCGGTTTGGAACATGACACACAGCAACCTTTAGCTGAGTATCTGGATTGGAATTCTCCCTGCATGAGCTCTCCTCTCTGCTCTCGTTTCTTTTTTCTTTTTTTCCCCCTTTTTTTTAAGCTACGGATCCGGAATCAGCCCTCTGTAACAGGGCTGAGAATAGAGGCGTATGAGGCATGCTAGAATGGTGTGATCTGGTTAGGGTTTTTGAGCCAAAACTACTATTCATAGGACATGTTTTTTAAATGTCTGGACCTATACATATATGCTACAAATAGTATAATAGGAGACTTGTTTAAAGGGAAATAAGACATCATTTTATTCTTCAATGTCTCCATTGGAGCAAAAAAACAATTAAAATAAGAGAAAGAAATTCAATCAAGTACCCCATCCTCCCTCGCCTCCTCACGCGGATTGCTCTCTCCCTCCCCGCTCACCTATGATCACGTCCAGGAGGTAAACAAAAGAGCGGCAGACAATGAATGCATCGCCGCTCCAGGGTACCCTCTGGTGTGTTCGTCACCCCTGGTGACCCTCTACTACTCCTCATGTTTAGTACTTCTGG